TGTAGAACAGAGAATACAAGTGAAAGCGCTAAGATGGTTTGGACACATGACTAGAATTCCAAATACAAGACTGGCGAAAAGGGTCTGGACAATGGAAAAATTCAAGAAAAAGAAGAAAGAAAGATCAACAAGGAAGTGGAACGACGAAATACGGGCACTAAAGATAAATGCATTTGGACTGGAAGGGAGTAGAAGGATTAGCTAAAGACAGTTCAAAATGCAGAAAGAAATTAAGAGAAAGCTGAGAAAGCGTAGAAAGATATCAAGTTGTACACTTGCTAGATCCAGTAGAAGAGGAACGGACTAAGATTAAGTTTAAAAATTGACACAAAAGAAAGAATCTCCGATGGTCATAGTGTAAGATAAGCATTAAAATATATCGATGTAACTCCTAAAAAATCAGTTGTCAAATTTCCATATCGGAAGCACCATTTTTTACTTCTCAGTTTCCACATTGGTATGACCTAATTGGCCCATCAGCAGCTAGGGCTTACCATAATAGTTTATCTTATGGCAAAACGCGTAGCAGTGGAGATAATACACTGCAAAAGTTTTTTGTTCCTATTCGCTATACAGTCTTTGGACCCAAGGGTAAGCAGCCCCGACATACCCCTCTCTAGAGGCCTACTTATGAATAATCACTCTTATCATGGTGGTCTGAGAAATAATTCCATTTATGCATGAACCTACATCTGGTCTAATTAACGTCCATTCAAGATACGAAAGGGCAGCTAAATGGCCACAAGGCACAACTTTCGGGAATTCCAGGAACGTCTCGTGCTGTGACATTAATACAATTAATCATAACAGCTTTCGTCGCCCTATTTTCAGACACCCTTCTGCTGCCCTATGACTCACCCTCACCCTGATATCTGCTTCTTATCTCGACATCTCTTAATGCTATGTTTCGGGGTAAACTGGACGGCGGTCGTTTTTTACCTATTCTGACAAAATAACAAGAGTGTAGTGTTTTAATTAATTAAGGGGATAACTACGCCCAGGAATGTCACTGATATTTGTGTGTACATCTCAATGAGGAAGCATATCAGTGGTAATTTGTTGCAGATAATATGATGGACAGCCTGAGCGCAATTTTCAAAAACGATTTTCGTCTATCTTTAAGGCTGAACATCCCGGAAGCGTTGCTGCTTGTCGCGTTTTTTTTAAAGATTATATATTTTGTCAAGCATTCACAATCGTGAAATGATTCTTTGCAGCAGACTACAAGACTCCAACTTTATACTTCTGTGTTTATATGTTTTACTTTGCAAGTTATTCATTGGTCGGGGTTGTCACTCAGAAGATGCCTTGCCGGTAGAAGATCCTATTTCGGGTATGATTCAAATTTAGGTTTTGGGTATACAAGACAATAATTGTTACTTTCTACCCATTACGAAAAAGTAAGGAAGACGCCTGAAACAGCATTTTAACTGTTTCGATATTTTTTGTGAAATCATTTCATGGCGTGATTGAAGGGCGGGGGTAATAATGAACGTCAACATTGAATCTATTCCGAAGAATCTAAAGTTGTTAGAGAAGTCGTTTATTGGTTAACTTCGATTGAAATGCTACAAATTCGGCGACGGAAGATTCGAAACCGAATAACGCATTTTCGTAAAATAAACGCATTTCCGAAAATATTCTGGCATTGTGTTTCATTGAAAAGAGCTTTATTCCAAGGGTGATTCGCAAATGGTTTGTTTTATTAACACATGATTTGGGTGCTTATTGTTAGACTTCAAACAGCATACCTAATTTGAATAACTAAATTTGACGGACTCATCTGCGTTAAAGTCCTTTCTGGTAACACGTATGGATCCAGACGCGTATACGTTCTGTTTTTCCATCCGGACTGTATCAGATGCGCTTTCTTTTTCTAAAAAATATGAATGTTCCTGAAGACTGAAGAAGCCATACATGTACATTTATTTGGTCAAGAAGGGCGCAAGCCACTTATATCACAGTAGGAATTAGAATTAGTCGACAGTCGTTCTCAAAATATGAACACCTACGCCACTGGTGCTTTTAGATGGAAATGTGTTTTTTGTTTGTTACAGATTTTTCCATACAAAATTTTGGTATGATTTTACCTCTCAAGCCTACTGCCGGGGAGGTATAGTAATTCCGAAAACTTCCGAAAGTGAGATAATACGTTTTCTGGGTATTATTATTATTATTATTATTATTATGATAATTGAGATGAGCAGAGTACACAGTACTATAAGCTCATGCAGTAAATATAGTGTACGGACACGTAACACAAATACATCAAATAGAAAAAAATAAAAAAATACAGTTCACAGCTATAAAGTTTGTACACTCCTCCAGCTATCATACTGCACTTTGAAGCTATTAACTGAAGTAGCACCAACCACACTTTCAGGTAAGCTATTCCAGGTGTTGAGTATGCGGTTGGGAAGAAACCACTGTCGGACTGTTGTTTCAAATGGCTCCTTATGCAGTTTGAAGCTGTGTCCGCGTAGATTGCTGCGCGACAGATGGTATAGATGCATGAGGTTGGTGCCCATCAAACCATGAAGTATCCTGAACGTAACTATAAGATCGCCACGAAGTCTTCGCTCAGAGAATGAGGTCAGGTTGAATAATTCAAGGCGATCTTCATAGCTTGGTCTTCGTGCTCCAAAAGGGATACGAGTAGCCCGACGCTGTACTGATTCGACGAGATTTCTATCGCGCAGAAGCACAGTGTCCCATACCGGGCCAGCGAATTCAAGAATTGGCCTCACGAATGCCTTGTAAATGTAGGCGCAAGTTTTGACATCGGATCCTTTGAAAGACCTCTCCAGCATATATAGAAGTTTCTTGGCTTTTGATGTAACGTGGTGAATATGCTCTGACCAGGAAAGACGATCGTTGACTACAACGCCCAGATCAGTGTGGCTCGAAACTGCTTCGATGTTGTGGTCAGAGATCTTGTATGTAAATCGCGGATTTGTCTTCCCGAGGTGAAGGACACAACAGTTGGTTAGATTTAAGGGTAAAAGCCAACTGACTGACCATTGACAAACAGTATCAAGATCTCGTTGAAGCATAGCAGAATTTACGACAGTATTGTAAATCTTGGTGTCGTCGGCATAAGCTGAACATGTGGAGGAAATCAATGCGGGCAGGTCACTGGTATACAGAAGGAACAGCACTGGCCCCAAGACAGAGCCTTGAGGAACTCCACTTGCTACATGATGAGGGTGAGACTGGCTATCACTGACGCGCACAGAGAAAGTCCTCCCGGTGAGAAAAGCCTTAATCCACAGTAACAACTCGCCTCTTATTCCCATACAATCCAACTTAAACAGAAGCCTTCTATGCGGTACGCGATCGAAAGCCCTAGAAAAATCTAAGTAGATTATATCAACAGGAGTCTTGGTGTCCAATCGTTGAGAGAGTGGAGAAGGTTGGTCATTATTGATCGACCAGGGAGAAATCCATGCTGATTCTTAGGGATAAGGTCATTTTCGAAAGCAAATGACTGGAGCTTATCTAATATGATTCTTTCAGCTATTTTGGCGGCGATAGGAACGAGACTTATTGGTCGATAATTTTTAGCGGAGGACTTGTCGCCCTTTTTGAATACAGGAGTAACAGAAGCACTAAGCCAGCATGAGGGTAGGGTATGAGATCTAAAAGACGATGTGAATATCAAGCTTAATGGTAGGGCCAGTGCTGAAGCGCAGTTTTTAAGTACAGCAGCCGTCATCCCATCTTTACCAGGGGAGGAAGAGGTCTTCAGATTTCGCAGGTGCATTAATACATCTTCAGGCAGGAACTCAACTTCGCAAAGGCTGTTGGGACACCTATGGCAGATAGTGGTCGGTAGAAGGTCTCCATTAGGCTCATCGACGAAGTCATCACTAAAGGACTCTGCCAGTAAGTTGGCAGATTCGGTGGCATCCATGTGGAGATGACCGTCAGCGTCGCGGATCTGAGGTGATGAAACTTTGGAATTCAGGTTTGTTCTTAGATACCGAAACAGCTTCTTCTTATTTTTGGAGGTAACGAGTTTTCGTTCATAAGCATGTTTGGCATTATGTAACGTTCTAGATAGGAGGTTAGAAAAGGATCGATGAGACACGTAATCTTGTGAATGGCCACTCCTCCTAAACCGTTGCCACAAAGATCTCTTGTGACGAAGCATCCTCGATATGTTAGAGTTGATCCAGGGCTTTGAGGGGTCACAGTATACCTTCTTTTCAACAGTATTGTCAGCCGTTTCGCTTAGGACTCGTTGAGCGAAAGTGTCCCACATATCTTGGGTGCTACGGTTGTTAAGCAAAGCAGGCCAGTTGACTTCAGACAGGGCTTGGATAAGAGCATCGTGGTTTACAATTTTGATGGTTTTAAACTTATCGGTTGTAGAACGACTATTTATATTGAACTGGAGAGAAGATAAAAGTGAACAATGGTCAGACTTGCCAAAAGGTGGCAAATAATCTAAATTAGAAACAAAGTCTGCGTCGTTAACGAATATCAAATCCAGAGCCCTAGGCGTCTGTCCTTCCCTGAATCTCGTTGGACGATCAACAAGTTGAGATATGCTAGAGTTGCGTAGCAAGTCGATGTAAGCAGCAGAAGAAGAATTGCATTCAGGAATGGTTGACATAGGCCAGCTAATGTCACGTAGATTGAAGTCACCAGCTATGAAAAGGTTGGTGTTTTTATTTAAGAGATCTGAAATGAGACTGCACAGGTGTGTGTCTCCCAAACAGGGCCGAAAGAGGGAGATACCGAGAAAGCCGACGCGATTTCCGTGCGAACATAAATGCATACTCCACCAAAACCAGGAGTGCGTGGTGAATCCATTCTGTATAAATAGTATCCAGGCAAATTGATGGAAGAGTCGGACACGTTGGAATGGAGCCATGTTTCAGTAAGACAAACGAACGTTGGATTATTGTCTCGAACAAATGCTTGGAGTTCAAGTAGCTTAGAAAAGAGAGATTGTATATTAGTGTAACAAACCGTCCAGTTTGCCACAGAATTTATCAGTTTTTTGAAGGTGTGATCTCCTGGGTAGCTGTGTGCACTATAGAAGGTTTACCACGAACGTATTTTATAGTAATATTACTTTCGCCTGTTGTTTGACGACGTCTAAGCTCTTCGCGAAGGTGTTGTAGTTCTTGCATTTGATCTCTGGTTTTGTCGTCAGAGATTTTTACGTGACGAAGCGTAGGGTGGCTAAGGATGGAGTTTTTCTTCCGCAAAATATTGCTGACGATAATAGGTGAGGAAAACAAAACTCTAATTAAACGATTGCTTGAAGTTGTTCTGCCAAGGCGAGTGATGCTGAGTCGGTGATTTTCGGCAGATGGTTCAATATGCCTAATTATCTCTGATACTATGTTTATGTCATCGTTACCTTCAGCTATGCCCCTCAGAATGATATTGTGGGAACGTCTAAATAACTCCATTGTCTCAGCTTGGGAGCTTGGGGCAATAGGGGTAGAAGAAGCGCCGTTGCCTGAGTGCATCATCTCCATAGATCTTGCAAGTCTCGATTCAATATTAGCAATGTTAGAAGACAGCTCTGTTTGAGTAACCTGGATATTTTGTATGTTGGTTTCGCAGGCCGCTATTAAGTCATCATGCCGAGAGATCGAGTCCGAATGTTGCTGTAGCAAGTTTCTACAATAAGCAACATCAGTTCTGAGTTGAGATTGAGAGTTCTTAATATCCTTTATGTCACTGGCCATAGTTGATAATTGGTTAAGTATAAGGGTGAGAGTGTCGGTAGGGGTAGACTGATCTGGTTGTAAAGGAGCAGTGGTTTCTGAACGAGCACCGCATGTGGATCCGCTTCGGGTAACTCGTCCCTGTTTACAACAGGCTGGGCAAGACCATCGTTCTTTTCCGTCCGACAGTTCTTCGTTGTTATCACTGTATTTTTCTACATTATCCCCATCTTCAGGATCTTTCATGTTTTTATTCTTCTTTCGCACAGTCCTACTCATGTTCCCTTATTCCAGCGGCTATTTCCCGATTACCCTATACACTCTGTAGACTAGTTTCTTAATTTGATTTGACACAATTGACGAAATGTCCAAATGACAAAATGGAATATATGGTAAAATGGCTGAAGATTACTCCCACGGCTCTGGAAACTATCGCCAACAGGTCCACGGACGTACCTCTTCCTGCTCTTAACTTGAACACCTCTGGTTTTAAATATTTTTGGCTTTTCTCCGATATTTTGAGGTATTTACAGTGAATACTAATTTAGTAGCCTACTTTTTAACTTCGGTTATGACATGCACATCACGAAAAACCATGTGACTAATTTCCGTCTGTTCGTCTGTCTGTCTGTCCGCTAATCATATAGCCGCCTATAACTTGAGAAGTACCGCTTGGATTTTGATGCAATTGTTACACAATATTATTAGTACGCCAAGCACAAAAGACTTAGTTTTTGAGAATCTGACCAGTGGGGGCGGAGAAAGACAAAAAACGAAAAAAAGATAATTCACCCAAATCTCGCGTTTGACGTTTCAGAGAACCCTGATCATTTTTGAAAAAAATTTTGGACTTGAAAAATTTGGGCGTTGGGAGGGTTTATCTCAATCTTTTTGATGCTAGTAATATTTATACGCCCCTAACGTTGCTAATTCTACGCACTCATTAGAGTTATTTTACATATCGTACATTATCCCGTAAAACTCATAGAGAAAAATTTTTTTAGCAAACGGATTGCGTACCTACAGGCCTCGTGTGCGTCTCCCGGCGGCGTGTCGCCGGCGATGGTGAGCGACGGCATAGTGTTTCCTATGACGTGGTCATGCTGCCACGTCTGACCGGGCTAGGTATCGGAGAGAGGCAACGTTCTCAGTTGGATTACCGGTAGGACAGGGAACGGATGTCTATGGACAATTGTATAGATTACTGACTTTTTTCTCAGAGGTCTAGTTTGTGCTGAACATAATCCTCAAAGAACTGCTTGCGTCGGAAGTGCTGAGTCAACCTACTTGAAGTCATTTTTTGTGATCTCTGTCGTTTAAGCTAACACTTTTCGGTAAAACCTTTTTAGTACGTTTTCTTTTTGCTTTTTGCCACTTACTGTTTTTACACACTTCAACTCCCACGTTTCATCAAACCAATCCTTATCTTCACATCATTCATGACACGCTTTGGGATAAAATTGACGACCGCCTGTCACCCTTCCGAATATAATTGAATATCATCATTTTTTGTAACTAAAAGGGTGCTCACGCATTTTTGTAGAATTTTTAAGTTTGTGCATATTCATGCTATCGGAGGGCGTACTTACTGCTTTGTAAAACATTATACCAATTTAGATAAGCCTTGATTAATTAATGCATAGTGAACGTAAACGTCTCTTTTATGCACCACTAAATTACCACACGGTTTAGACAATGAAATAATTAACAGCTGTTCGTTTTTCCTGCTGTTTGTAGATTATTTAACTTCTTTTGATGTTTTATAAACATACCTATATTAATCTTCCACAAGTTCTGGCGCATACTTCTTTACATATACAGGGTGTTTCAGTTTATTGTTGCATAACTTTAAGATTCGATAGAACTTTTAAAGTTAATGCATAAAGTTTATATAAACATGGGTCGACAAATGCGTGGCTTCTGAAATACAGGGTGTTTAAATTTACTTTCTAAAATAGTTTTTTTTAAATATTTCGAACAATATTTGATGTATAACAGTGAAAATTGGTATACAAGGGTTTCTTGGTACGACGAAATGAACCATGGGCATAGTTTTACTGTAGCCGCTAGAGGGCGCTCTCTACTGTACCTGTAGTGTATTAAAATGACCGAAAAAATTTTCTTAGTGCAATTTTTTGGTTTTTGAATAAAAAAAAAATTATTCTTTGCACTTTTCAACATAAAAAAGCTCTCTTGTGAATTTTCGTTATAGTTAGCCGTTTTTGAGACATTTAGATTTTTAAGGTTCGATGCATTTTTAATTACATATGATAAAATAACCTTAAAAAGTGAGTATCTCGATAATTTTTAAAAGTAGGCTGCGCCTGCAAATATTTTTGAAATTGAAAGCAGAATAAGGTTAAACGTCAATTAGTTGACAGTTAGTTTTGTTGTCTGTTGAAACCTGAAACGTTTTTTTGCAATTGTGAATGTACGAAATTTAGTTTCTTTTACCTGTTTTTTTGTCAGTTTTATAAAAATGCCATTTTTATTCTCCAATCCAGAGTTAGCGGATATTCATTTTGTGTATGGCTTTGTAAATGGAAACGCAGCAGAAGCAGCCAGAGAATACGCACGAAGATTTCCAAACAAACGACATCCAACTCGCTCAGTATTTGTAAAAGTGCATCGCCAAATAATTTAAAATGGTTTTGGAAATCTCCAAAGGGATCAAAACATAAATGTTCGTCAGCGCTGATTTACCCGCATGATTCTGCGTGAGTTTGATAGAGATCCGACCACAAGTGTTAGGAGAGTTTCAGGTGCCTTGGGAATTTCAGCAAGCCATGTTCACCGTGTTCTTACAAATGACCATAGACGTCCTTACCATTTGCAACCTGTGCAAGGGCTACAGCCAGGGGACGGAGAACGAAGAATCACATTTTGTCAGTGGATTCTTGATAGAACTGATAATAATAGGGAGTTTTTAAGTAACGTTTTATGGACCGATGAGTGATGCTTCACTGGACGTGGAGTGGTAAATTTTCATAATCAACATATTTGCTCGCATGGAAATCCGCATGCAGTTCGGGAAAGGAATTATCAGCATCAATTTAGTGTGAACGTGTGGATTGGTATCTACCGTAATCGACTATTTGGACCCACCTTTTGCCTGCAAGGTTAAATGCTGCGACCTTCTTGGAATTTTTAAAGGCTGAACATGCAAATATGTGGGATGATGTTATGTTAGATTTAAGAAGATTGGCCTGGTTCCAGCTTGATGGTTGTCCAGCTCATTATTCGAGAATAGTTAGAAACTGGTTGGACGAAAGTTATCCAGAAAGATGGATCGGCCGTGGAGGACCAGTCGCCTTGCCTCCACGATCCCCTGACCTAAATCCATTAGATTTCTTTGTGTGGGGATTTCTAAAAGAAAAAGTTTACCAGACTCCCGTAACCACAAGAGATAAAATAAGGCCTTATTTGAATAATGCTATACCACGTTCGATCATTCGTAGATGTGAATTGTTTATTGAACAACTGGTTTTACATTTCGAGCAACTACTTTAGATTTTGTATGTTTGTCCTAACTATCCAATAGCATTTTAGTTGTAAATAATTAATTTAATTTGTTAAAAATAATATTGGAAAATTAAACAAATTAATATTCTGTTTTTTTGTTTATTTGGGGTTAGGAATTATTGCTGTGTTTAAAAACACAATCTAAACGATCATCTTAATTATTTTTCCATAAATAATAAAAAATGCACCGAACTGTAAAAATCGAAATATCTCAAAAACGGCTAACTATAACGAAAACTCACAGGAGAGCTTTTTTATGTTGAAAAGTGCGAAGAATAATTTTTTTATTCAAAAAGCAAAAACTTGCACTAAGAAAAAAAATTCGGTCATTTTAATACACTACAGGTACAGTAGAGAGCGGCTACAGTAAAACTGTGCCCATGGTTCGTTTTGTCGTACCAAAAAACCCTTGTATACCAATTTTCACTGTTATACATCAAATATTGTTCGAAATATTTAAAAAAAACTATTTTAGAAAGTAAATTTAAACACCCTGTATTTCGGAAGCCACGCATTTTTCGACCCATGTTTATATAGACTTTATGCATTAATTTTAAAAGTTCTATCGAATCTTAAAGTTATGCAACAATAAACTGAAACACCCTGTATAGGGACCCTAGGTACATTAGAAGTATGGACCTTGTGGCTTAGGGGCCCCAAACCAAAGGTAAATCCGGTGGCCCACTTGAAAAAATGGAAAGGAGAGGATGAGAGAAACTCATATGTTTCGGCATTTGAGAGCCCTTCATCAAGCCGGAGCCCTGGGCAAGGGCTCCGTTTGCCCTTAGAGTAAAGACGGTATAGCAAATGAATAGTGAGGAAAGTCCCAACTGTGAGGAAAGTCCCAACTGTCGGGATACCCTGTATACTTCCAAATGTGAGCTGCAAGTCAACACATGCATCTAATAACATTGTAAACGGCATTTTGATTATTTCCACTTTTTTAGTGATAACATAAATATACCGCCCATTTTCAAAAAAATAACCTTTTGTTACTGGAGAATGGAGAAATGCAGCTAAAACATCATTGTGACCGCATACGTCGGAAAAATGATCATAGCGAAAATCGTTACTGGTTTACTAAATCATAATTCCAGAATTGTAAAGTATCATACGAGTCTATCGCATCTTATCCATTACACAAAAGCTATGCATATATGTCTTTACAATATTCTTGCACGAAAAATATTATTTTTGACACAGCGTAAGGTACTTTACAATGATATCACTCGTAATATACCGCAGGAATGCAGATACAATGTTCTTGCTCGGATATTTTAGTACGCACCAGTATTTGCCGCATCATTTACAATTCTAGTTAGATGGTTGAAATATTGCGTGGTTGTCCGCTTCTTATGGATATTTTGCAGTAAAATATACTTCATAATAACCGAGAGGTGAAGTTATGTCGAGACAGGAAAGGTTCCAGAGATATACGCACCTTTTTATAACATATAGTTTGACTTGTGGTGACGTAAGTAATGCAGAAGGCTCTAAATAGAATAAATTGTTTATTTTATTCGTGTATATCTATATACACATTCATGAGAGATGTCATATTTTTGTTACTTTCGTGTATTTACTTATTTTAATTAACTTTATCCATACATACATTTGCGTATAATGCGCAATAGAGCAGAAGGAAAAAAACAAATGCATTACTGAGAAGAAAGAAAAGAATCAACTCTGAAAATATCCTAGCTAAAATAGAAGAAAATTATAAA